GGCGGGAGGGCGCGTGGGGAGAGGCTAGTATATATAAAGCAAAAGGCAGAGAATGGTGAAACATTCATTATACCATAAAATACCCTTGGTTAATTCAAACATTAAGAATTAAAATTATTAATTAAATGAGGATAATATAGTAAATTCACATTTTTTCATATTAAAACAATTAAAATTAAAAGAAAAATCAGATAATGAATCATATTTTTATGGAACACAACAACCCATTATCTTTTTTAATTCTAAAATAAATTTAAACTTTTTTTAAAAAAAAACCTTTCGCAGGCGTGAAAGCGAGTGCAAAAAGACTAGTATATATTAATTTCATTAGAAAAAATGAAAGAAACAACACTGAACGGTGCATTTCATTTAAGTAATCTCAAATTTTTTAAAAAATAAAATAAAATTAAAGTAACCTCAGTTTTGAAAAGGCTGAAAGTGAAACGGCGTCGTTTTACAACCCTAATAAAAAATTTCACGCGGACTCTTCTTCTTCTTTCTCGCGAACTCTTCTTCTTCTTCTTCTTCCTCCCTAGATATTCTCACCAACCAAACAACAAGCTACCTTCATCTTCTCGCTAGATATTCTCTCCAACTAAAGGTATGAACTTCCCTGTATTTAAATTTTGTTGGACTTTTTTTTTTTTTTCTTTCTCTGTGTTGTCTTCCTTTTTCGCTGGTCTTGGTCTGTTTGTGTGTGTATTCTTTATTTGTTTCACTGGCAGATGGAAGATACAGAGACTACCAATGGTATGGGAATCATGGATGAGGAGTTTGTTGTAGTTTCAATGGATGGTGTTTCATATACCAATGGGTCGTGTTTTCACCCGTTTCACCCACTTTACCCGCTTCAGCCTTTTAAAAAATAAACAATATTTTTTAGCACATTGAAAAAAAAAAAAATTGAAATCTTTAAATACATCTTACACATTGGAAAAAGAAAAAAGAAAAAAAAAAAAAGAAGACAACATGAGTCTCAAATTGACCTTGAGCGATCCCCATTTCTCCCTCTTGTGATGATTTTGGATCTCAGCTGAAGTGTTTGGTTTAGTGTTTGAGTTAGAAATGGCAGCGAGACAAATGGAAGAGATACAGAGGAAGCTGGCGATGCTGAATTACTCGAGAGCCAATGCGCCTGCTCAGTCTCTCCTCTTCGCCGGCATGGAACGCTATGCTCTTCTCGAATGGCTGTTCTTCCGGTACACGACATGCCGTTTACTTCTTCTTTGACTTTTCTGATTCTCCCTCCATGCCCCATTTTTGACTGTCCTGGTTCTTGGTGTAATTGCAGCTTGTTGGGGGACAAGTCACCCTTTTCTCAACAGAGTCTTCAAGGGGACGCCATGGATCGTGACGAAGAGACTGCTCGCATCCAATGTAAGGTTTTTTTTTTTTTTGTAGAATGTTGAATTGGGTCGTGCTGAAGTTGTTCAGAATGTGATGAAAATTAACCTGGGTCTGTTTAGATCATCAAATGTAGGCTACATACATGGTGGAAAACATGATATTCTCACACTGCTGTGTTCTTTTTGTTTCGTTTTCACTCTGCAAGATTTGATTTTTGAATTCCATGAAATGGTGGATCCAAATTATACTTTCCCTCTTCTAATATTAATTTCAAATGAAAATGTGGGCTACAATTGTTTTGCTCAACTAGTCTTTCAAACTCTTGATATCTTCCTGATGATAATTAAGATGACAAACTTTTGTGAAGACTTCCAATAGTAAAGAATATATGCAGTATTAAGATGACAAACTGATAACACAGAACCTTTGATCTCCCAAATAAAGCTAAAGGAAATCAAAATTCAGAAGAAAAATTAAATCTTGACAGAGAAAACTTTGCATATCCATATCCTAATATAAAAAAGATAGAGGCATCCTACAGCTATTTTGCACAATCTTAACTCAGTATTACTTCAAAGAAAGCAAGCGCAGTTATGATATTGCTTGTACTTGGAATAGCTTAATATATTTATGTTGGTACCATAAGCACCCAAATGCTATATCCGTGATGGACTTTTTAAGATAGTTTTGTAGAGCATCCTTCCGTTCTGCTACTTTTTTTATTTAGCTACTTATTCTTCTCCTTAAGCCAGCTGGTATATCCGTTGACTGTTTAAATTTCCAAATTTTTCTTAGTATGTGGGTTATGATGAACTTTCTATTTTGCACTGTTTTTAGTCATGTGATGGGATAATCTGACCAAGTTTCTCTTAATTGTTACCATAACAAATGATGACCTTCTGTTTTGCAGATTTGGCAGAGATTGCAAAGTTTTTGGGTATTACTACTACTGTAGACACAGAAGCTATCCAAGTTAGTTGTGGATTTATGTTGATTTAGGAGTATTTATTCTGGCTTATATGGGTGATTTTTTCTTCTTCTTTAGTTTAGCTGTACAAATTAAGTGCATTTTTACTTATCACATTTGAATTTATTGTTTATTGGTTTTTAATTAACCTTTCATAGAATCTGTTGGGAAAATAATTTTTTAGGATATGAAAGTATCATGGATTGATCTAATTATACTAGTAAATTTTGGTAACTGGTAGTCTTTTCTTAAAGGATGCCAAGCTTTTTAAAATTATGGTATTATGTGAATCCTTTTGGTTATATGATAAAATTGGAATCTTATTCTCTTATTGGAGGTTCCTTTACATCCAAATATTCTAGATTAGTCCCCCAGATACGATCAAAGTAGTCAAATATGAATCTCCCTTAATGTACCTCCATGGAAATAGTCAATTTGAAACAAAGTTATACTGGCAGATCATCAAAAACTTTTTATCAAGGTAGACTAGACAGAATTAATCAAAGATGATGTAAAAATTTGTTTGCAAGATGCACATTATGCATCTAGTTGGCACTCTAGACAAGATGAACATAGTTAGGAATAAAAATGTTTTATTGGACCATCATGCATTCTGCATTCGACGTGAAATCTAGCAACTCTTTACTTTGTGTGTTTCCTCCACCCTTACTGAATGCAATACCTTTTTGTTGCAGGGACGAGGAAGCTATGAAGATCGCACTGAAATGCTTCGTCTTATTGTAGATCTTGTGGAAGCGAGCATTTATGCTGATAATCAAGAATGGAGGTTAAGGATGATACTAAGTTTTACATTTGTGTTGGGAAGTTTTTATTTTCTAATAAAGGAACTCGTAGCACTTCTATAATTTCACATTTCATTCTATATTATGCACGTGATTTTTTTTCTGATTTCAAACAATCATGTTGGCCTGAGATCTGGTATGAACTGTGATTTCTGCAGTATCGATGAGCAGGTAGCAAAGGACATACAACTGATTGATTCCATTGCTGAGAGACAAGCTCAAATATTCTCCGAGGAGTGCAAATTATTCCCTGCTGATGTTCAAATTCAGTCCATATATCCATTGTAAGAATATCTATTTCCCAGTTCGGTTTCAATTTCTCTCCTGAAGTAAAAGAACAATTGCTTCATTGAAAGTTTATTATTCCACTAAAAAAAGACCTCATAGATGCAGTGTAAGAGTATCTATTTTCGATTTGTGTTTCAACTCCCCTGAAGTAAAAAGAATAATTGCTTCATTGAAAGTTTATTGTCAAACCAATTGTCTTTTCGGAAAAAACAACCTCTGATAAAATCCAATCCCAATCAGTTTAGATAATGCTTAGACAGGTTGATTGCATAAGTTAAGTTTGAACTACATATTTCATTAGATACGATAACATTCTGTTCGTTTAATCAAAGGTCATTTGCAGGCCTGATGTTTCTGAATTGGAAAAAAAGCTTTCAGAACAATCAAAGATACTCTTAAGTCTTCAACAGAAGGTTGACGATTTGGCATCAAAGGTTTGTTTCTGTTCCTCAACTTAGATATTCTTGCATTTGACAATAATTGATTATTTTTCTTACGATTTGTATCCTGGAACTGTTCTACTATTTTATCAGCTTCACATAGTTCTCTTTGTGTATATAATTATTCTCTAACCAAATTCTACAATTTAAATCAGTGAATAAATTCATCTGCATTTTAAAACAATATCCTACTGCTGCTTTTTTCTCTTGTACACATCACCCACTCTTCTGTCATTACCCTCAAATCATATTGTTCATGAAGGTAGTCAGTTTCTTTAACTCCTGCCACCTAAAAGCACCACCTCCCTATCTTTCCAGTCCGTTTGACCTTCACTTGTCCTATGCTTCATTGCAGAGAAGAGATGTGTAGTAATGTCCTCGATAGTGCCAAAGGATGCCCAAATATTCATTTATATTTTAGTATATTTGTTATTCCAAAGACAATAAAAAAGTATATTTTTTTTAACGTTCTTTTGTTGCCACTTATTCACTTTGAATTTCTTTTTCTGATTTTTTTTTTCTTTCCCAATGCCTTCCAAGTCCATTAAACACTTGGCAGTGAATGCTCCCTCAAATTTCAGTTGTCAGTGACTCAGTGTACATTTTATTTAATTATAACTTCCCCCAAGTTGTGCAGTTGATTCCTTCTTTTTCTTGCTCTGATTACGTGCTATTGCATATAGCATGCATACAACCCAGATGAGGATTATGCAGAGGTGGAGTCCAGATTGCGTGCACATTTGGAATCTTTCCTAGAAACTGCAAGATCATTCAATACGATTTACACTAAGGTTTGACCTGCTCTTTCCTGTCATATACACTGCCTTTTGACAATCTGCTATGGCTTCTTTTCTTTTCTTTTCCTGGGTGCTGTAACAAATTAAAAGATTTTGGCATACTTGATACTGATAATTTATGTCTAAAGAAGAAAAGTGATGCACTTGTGATACATGAACTTTTGTCTAAAAAGAAAAAGAAAAAGAATTCTATATTTGCTTTCACCATAATGATTGAAATTTATGCTTTTGGGTGGATTCCTTATTCACGTATCCGTTTTGGTTGGCATATGAGATAGTTTTTATGCTTCTGTTCCAGCTCCTTGCTAATTAGAAATTCACTTTTTAGCTACTACAGTTGGATTGTTGACATTTATTTGACGCGCATGAGTCCGTAATACCTTTTTGTTAGTTGTTTTGGTGTGTGCATGTGTATTAGGTATGTACGCTTAGCTGCAACCTTGAAATGTCATGCTTTTGTAGGAAATACGTCCCTGGACACACATGATGGAGGTACCCCAGCTCCATGGGTTTGGGCCAGCTGCCAATCGCTTGTTAGAGGCATACAAGATGCTTTTAAAGGTATCTCATTGCTAATTAAATTATTTATCTGTTCATTTTTCATAGTACATTATGAGGATTATTAGACTAATACTGATGTGTAGTTAAATTATTTACCTGTTGTGTTGGAGGAGGAAAAAGTGAAGGAAGGTGGGGGTGGGGGAAAATAATTTTCTTTGTTTTGAAGTAGGAGGGAGGAAATAGAAAAGAAAGTGGGAGAGGTACTTTTCCCTTGAGCTGGAAAAAGCATTCCCCTCGAGGTCAGGAAAGGATTTTCCTTGAACGTGGGGAAGCCCTTTTTTATTCTAGAATAGAATACAAGAAACAGGGAGACTGCATGTCTAACTTATTTTTACCCTCGAAATTGGGGACCAAATTTTTTTTGTACTTTAAGAAAGAGGCTGTATGGTAATTGAACCATTTCTGGATTTCTTTGCATCCCCTCTCTTCCCCTGAACTCAAGGGCCACCTCTGAAAGTGAGACATTGTATTGTCTATGTAGCAATTGGACAGAAAGGCTCAACCGTGGCACAATTAGTTCAAATTCTTTCAAAAGATTAAACAAGGAACATCCATTCTCCTTATGTTTCCAATCCTCCCATGTTCTTCAACCGAACAGTAGCAGAAAACCTTCGCCAAAATTGTCCATTGAATTCTCTCCTCCCATTCTCTCTCTTGCTCCTCAAAATGGTATTACTTCCTGATGACCTTTTGTGTGTGTGTTTTTGCATGAGTGTGTGTGGTGTAGGTGCAAGGGGCAAGGGGGTGTGGAGTTTCTAGGTGAGGTGAGCTGGGTTTACTTGGGTATGGTGCAGTGCAAATGAATAAAGTGAATGCTGCATTTTTACTAGTATCATGGATTCTTACTAGTACTGTTGGCATGACCATGAATTGCTAATAAGGTGTCTCCTTTCCCTTGCATTGACTGCAGTTCCTAGGGAACTTGAGAAATCTTAGAGACTCCCACGCAGCTCTTGCGGTCGGATCATCTGACTCAGTTGCGGGTGAGCCCTCGTCTGTCACGAGAATAATCTCTGAATGTGAATCTGCATTGACATTCTTAAATCGTGACCTTGGAATTCTCTCGGCTTCCATTGCTCGTGAGCAAGGTGGGCAAGTGAATTTGTAACAAAATTATTATAGTCATTGGGAGGAAGGCCATGAATTCAGTCTCTTCCTCATCTTCTGGGAATGCAGATGTATGTTATGAAAATGTAGTTTATTTGTGTTGCATGAAAGCGAACTAAATGTAATATCGATTATGAGTTCATATTGTCAACCATGATAGTCTTTTGTGCGTTGATCTCTCACCATGTTCATTTGACTAAGAGTGGAATTTATGGAAGCAGAAAATCAAATGTTTGTTTTCATTTTGAGCACGGATTTTTCTGGTCCAAGATTAGTGATGGCTTGATTAGAATTGTTAAGCACGGGCCGGCCCAACAATGGGATATGATCATTTTCAGTAAAATGAAGCATACCCCTAAAAACTAATACTTTAGTCTCACTTGGCACAAGTGGGTTATGCCAGTTGGTTAAGATAGTGAGTTCAGCCCCTTGCACTCAAGTTTGAATCCCCATCTTTGTAGATTAGATTAATACATAGTAGTAAATTATGCTTGTATTAAAATAAAAAAATAAAAAAACCTGAGTCTCACTTGAGTTCCCAAATTAGCCCTAAATTATGTTTCTAATTTTCTTCGTGCGTGTGGGACTATAAGCACTAGGAGCCCAAAGTCCAAACCCCAAAGCCCATTTGAGTGTGCTTCAAAGAAAGAGACCACGGCGCTTGCAGCTATGGCCATGGGGAGAAAGAGAAGCGTGGGAAGAAACCAATTTAGTCCTGAAAAATTTAGTCAGGTATGCATCATGTGACCAATTTTGACCGCAATGTAGTGAAATTGACTTCAAGAACTAATCACACTAAAAAAAAACAAAAATTAAGCATCTAAAAAATTTGGGTAACCACAAACATTTGGGTAATGGGAAGTAAAAGCCCTCCAACTTTGATCTCTTTCAGCTTTGAAAGGAGAAATATCATTAGAATCTTCTTTAAAGCATATTTGTACTTTTATTACTGTGTCCAAGTTCCGTCATTTACAAATTCTATCAAAAATTAAACTTTCTCATCCAAACACAATGTAATTAATGAATATTGAGAAAATTAATGGATGAGATCGAAGACTTGTGACTTAGATTTGATATGGTGCTATTGACTTTCAACCAACTATTGACTTAGACTTAATATGGTGATTTGTCTTCTAACGTGTGGCCCAACTTGGAGGTATTAACTCGGCTTGACTTGGTAAGGTGCCTTCCTGTGTCCACTCAACCATCGGCTTTGCATCCTATTCCCCTGGGCACAAGCTGCAAATATCTTTTTGCAAACGTGAACTTGACTTAAGTTAAACATATGGAAATATCTCTGCCCAACCCAATATTAATATGATACCTATATATTTATTGATACTAATAAATGAAAATTGGGTTTTTATTCAACAACTATAATACGAGAGTTTTTCAAAACACTTTGGTTATCGTCTTTCTTCTGAATATAGACAACTGAATAGGGTATAATTATAGTTATCTGGTCCTGGCACAAATTATCCAAATGGTCATGTCTGAAGTCCCTCCTTTCTTATCTCAGATAAGTTATCTGCCATAGCTAGAACCTAAGTTGTCTAATTAATCTGTGCTCTTTCATAATTTTGATAATTCCTATTGGATTGGATGCCTCTTTCTTCTCCTCCTTCCTCCTTCCTTCTGTTTCCAAACATCCACCGTGGAAGATAGACCCTTTGTGGCAATATCAACATAAAGTATCCATTTCAATTAAACAGAGACCTTCAAAACTGTGGCAATTACACTTTTGATCTATATTGTGAGGAAAATGTTACAGTAATATGCTTGTATTCGGGAAAGTATTACATAAAGGAGATCAATTACAGTGACTGGACAATCCGAGTTGTTGATGCTGGTGTTCAGAAGAAAGACAACTACTTCTCCAACCCACGTTACTCTTTAACCTCCTTCAACCTTAGTGATGGAGATCCTTTCGCCCATTATCTGTGGTACACTATTACTGAACGTGGAGTGCATAGTCTAGCAATACGTGAAGTGCCTATAATTTTTATCAGCTGTGCAAATCCAATGCATTCTCCTCGCCTTGTTGATACAGCTCCATGCATCAACAATTCTGCCAATTCTTCTTTGTCCAGTACTTTAAAAATGTTTTCTTATGTCATGATTGGCAACATAAGTTCATTCGATTTGGGGGAGTCCTGCAGAATAACACAAATGGTTGTGGTGTCACCAACATCTACAGATCTTCACCGGAACTTGTCCTGTGAAGGTATATATAATGAAATAGAGCACGGCTTTGAGCTCTCATGGTTTAACGCTGCATGTTACTTAAAATGTGGAAGGCAAGAGGAGAACTGCAAGCTCGACAACGTGAGTAAAACCAAGTGCCCTTCAATAATAACCAAAGGTACAGTGCATCTGTTAATGATTTCACTTATTCAATAATGCTAGCTAGAGTCAACATATGTGTTCTCTCTCCTCACCAAGCCTTAAATATGCAGCGCTCTTAAATATCTTCTTCACCACCCACCATTTGACTACTGTTTTTTTGTTTTTGTTTTTCCTGAGAAAAGAGCAATAGTATTACTGTTTGATTGAGGGAATAAGTAACCGTACCAAAAAAATCGGACCGTATCGTCAGGGATTAGGCGAATCTATTTATACATACAGGATCGGTCGTCGGATTAGTAGTTTTACCTGCTCAACTGCAAAGCGAGAGTAGGAACCTAACCACTGATAGATTGTCCCCCATGTCCCCTTAAGATAAAGCCCGTAGAAAAATTACATGTTACATTCTTCAAATAAGAGATCACAAGTCTGGAGGTTCCTCGAACCAAGTAATGGTAGAACCCACCCATTTGAGTTTAATTCTTCATATTTGGTTAATTTCCTTAGTTGTCAATTTCTCCCTTGATTGTATTTTTCGCACAACAACTTTACACATTGACAAGATTTTGTTGTCAAATAACATTTCATCTGTTCTCATGTGTGGAAAGGACGCATAGGCTTTTTCTTCCATCTGTGTACAGATTAATATATTACAGGTCATCTACTACGGATACATTATGTTAGAGATACTGATCAAAGGAATAGGAAGAGAGTTTTTATCAACCATGTACGGGAGGCTAGTTTATGATGTTTTCACTTCAAATAATTTGGTGGTCAAAAGGAGGCTATGACATGATGATTTCTAATATATACATATGTATTATGATCTTTTTGTATGCAAATATGAATCTTATTTTCTTTTGCAATGCAGAACATTTGTACAAGAAGATCTTACACTTCATAAGCTCTATACGAGGCAAAGTAGCTGACTCTCTAATCCAACTTACATAATTCATTACATTTATCAAACTATACTTCATTAAATTATGAATTTATCGAGTTTTTCACTTGTGTACTGCAGAAATGGTACTCAATACGGATGGCTATGTGCTCACCCCACAAGTGCTACAAGTCAATCCCCCTTTATCTGCTTCCATTTTACTGTGTAATCTCTTACCTAGGTAATTTGAACTACTTGAATTTAGTTACTATGTAGCCTTTTTCAGTTTTAGCTACTGATAACTGAAAAATAGAGTGTTAGCTATTTGGACCACATTTATTGAAAATCTCTCTAATAGAAGTGGGCCTTGTCATTGTATTTGGGACCCACCTGTATTAAAAAGGTTGTCAGCACGGTGGTCAATAAATATGGTACAAAATACAAATAGCATTATTGAATTTTTTTTAAAAAATTTCTAACATGAGAAAGAAAGGAGGAAGGAGAAAATGGAATGAAATGTTGCACACGTGTCGTAGGTTTATCCGGCGTGCGGACAGGCCCCATATGTGACTTTGGATGTTCCGGCGTATGGGGAGGTTTTGGTGAGTTGTGACTTAAAAGAAAAGGGTTTTAGGAAAGAACTACGTGTGGCTTGATCCCTCAGTAAGGGTACGTAGGCAGCCTGAAGTTACTAGGTGCAGCCGTGGGTTAATCCTCATTTAGGTTGTGTTAGTGAGGTTGGTTTGGACCTCGTTGTTGGTCCTGAAACTTGGTTGAATTGAGGCTTGTTCAGTGGACTAAGTGAGTGTGATAGTGGTTTAGTTGAGTTTGAAATCTTTTTTGGATTTGTTGCACGATTTAGGCTAAGGCTCTAAACTACTTGCGTTTGTGTTAGGAGGTTAAAACCTCATATGTTAGAGATTTGGAAAGTTAGTTTATGTTACGTGAAGGCCGGAGGCCGATTATTTGGAATTGCATGAAATTATATTGTGCATGCTGCCGATTGGGTGATAAAAATGTGTTTTATGCATGTGGAAATTTTGGAGAATGTTCAATTTACAGGGGAGACTCTGCCGAAATTTCGGCAGAAAGTCTCGTACCCCTACGCCTTTTTGAAAAAGGAGGTTACAGTCTAGTGAGTGGGCCCGACATCGGGTGATGTAGGGGTTTCCATAGGATTCGTCTCGGGTTCCGGGAAATTCGGGACGGGTCCTGTCATTCTAAATCAGCCAATAAACATTAGCCAAACATGCTTCCTGCAGGTTAGAATTTTCTTGACCTTGGATCAGCTCAAAGTTTGCTATTACAATCAGTTAGCCAAACATGCTTCCTGCAGGTTAAAAAAATTCAGTTCAAATCTCACATGTCTTCATCTAATGATTCTTATCTATCTTCTCTCTACTTCAACATCAGTGAAACTTTCAAGAAATTTTTTAGCATTATGAAGCAAAATTTGTTGGAAATTGGTATGAATTGAGTGGGGAACTGGCTCAATATAAGTTCGTCGCTATGTCTTCGATGAATAAAGGACTTCAACTATTTCTATAGTGCAAGAAAGTAACAAGATGAACTGAAAGTAGTATAGAAAACCAGCTCGAATCACTAATATAGAGCAAATAGTGACATTGTTATGGAAAATGTAAAGTAATTGAATGAATTATGGTTGAGGAATTTTCTTCTCTAACCGAATAATTGCAACAAAACTTAAGGAATCATAGTTGGGGAATGATACATCAACTGGAAATCTTACTAACGCGTGGTTTGCAAAACGATCTACAATGTAATCTGAGTGGCTTCAAGAAGGCTTGAAATCTCGCAGGAAACTCTCTGGGAAATCTCCAAAATCTATGAAATCTGAAATGATATTTGTTTAGAAATTCAAATTCAAACACTTAGCATATACTACAATTTGACTCATGACAAATTCAAACCCAAACACTTAGCATATACTACGATATTCAACACCACATGTTATTTAATATTACAGTGCATGATCTCATATCAAATCATGGTGACTGGTAGAACTCTTCAGGTACGCAAATGTCCAGATGCCTTGCAGACAGTATAGTTGTATTCATTCAATTCGAAGTAGAGCAGAAAGGATTGGCTGGTATGGTTAGATTGTCGCCTTCTCTTTCTAACATTTGAACTACAACTTTCATTGGAGGACGATCTATTGGGTGCCATTGGACGCACCATAGACCCACAATGGCAAGTTTCTTTGCAATTTTAGCATCTCCTTCATCCTCAATATGGATCCTTAGGTCGTCCCCTTGTTCCAAAAGGTTATAAATCCATTCCGGGAAGTAGACTTGGCTGGTGGAGTCCTCCATGACCTTAAAGTATTTTCTGCCATCAACCATTTCCAGCAACAACGTCCCGAAACTATAGACATCTGACTTGTAGGACACGCTACCGAAATTCCTAGAGAACACTTCGGGTGCAATGTAGCCCATGGTTCCCCTGATGGTTGTCATGGATATTGCACTTTGATCCCTTGTGCATAACTTGGCTAGACCAAAATCGGAAACTTTCGGAGTGAAATTCTGGTCTAGCAAAATGTTATGGGGTTTGATGTCGAAATGGAGGATTCGGTGGTCACACCCTTGGTGAAGATACTCAAT